ATTTGCTCACGATCCAAATCCCTACAGTCCATGTTGAATGACATAGAAGAATATAGCAATGCATGGAAAATCCCTACAGTCCATGTTGAACGACATAGAAGAATATAGCAATGCATGGGCTTACGTCTTAATGCCAGCAAAACAAAAGCCAAATTCTTTTTAAAAGGCCGCCATACCAAATTTAATTTTTTATCTTTAAAACAATCATATAAAATTAGTAGATTCTTTTTAAAAAATTTGGGCGTTCAGTTATATAAAAAAAATGCAATTGGAACCGAACACAAAAGCGAATAGCCCAGCACGGTTTCGAACTCATTTCACAATTTGTTTATTGTTTTTAACCATCTTGATTTACCCGTGTCCAAACAATGTGACTTATTCGATTCATTGGTAGCTTCTACGTTAAATTACGCGGCTGAAATCTCGGGTCATCATGTCGGACCTGATGTTGAACTCATTCACACCAAATTCTGTAGATAGATAGATAGTATTTATTTCGGCATAAAGGTAAACATGTTACATGATAAACAAACACAATATAGATTAAAACAATTACAAATAAATAAATAAATGAATGAATAAATACTATATGATGTAAACCATGACATGTTCCCAAAACCAAGGATAACACAAAAAAGAGCAAGCTCTTATTTCCATTGTGGTCCTTAGCATTTGGTGGCATGACATAGAGAGGTATTTCATAAAAAAATAAAAATATCACAAGTTATAAGATAAATCACATTAATGAAGGATATCATTTAAAAAAAGTATTATCAAAAATACTGTCAAACGCTATACAAATTTATACGCTCTTTACGGCGAAAATAGGTGGAATCCCGATGAGCATTCATAGACAATTAATAATGGTTAAATACTAGATAAAATTATTGACATGTAAAAAAGAAACTCTTCTTTTCAAAACATATAACATGCTTAAGGTCGATGTTGAAGCAAATAACACATATAATAAATGTTATTGGGCTTATTAATTAAAAATTATACTTGATAGATGCGGACTTACGTATATCTGGGCAAAACCAATTTAGCATGTTAATTGACTATAATATTATTGAACGACGCATATTAGATATTTCTTATCAAAGTTTGGTATTGTTCTAATGAATAATAATTCTAGACGTCTTGATACATACAGTTCTTTAAAATATAAATTTGAATTTGAAAGTTATCTTGATTATATTAAAAGACAAAGGATTTCGAGTTGCGCTTACAAAATTTTGCACATCATCTCACTACTTGTTTTATTGAAAAGGGAAGATATACAAACGTACCTAGACTGGAAAGAACATGCAATAATTGTTCTTCGAGACAAATTGAAAACGAATTTGACTTTTTGTTTACATGTTCACAATATGCTGACCTTCGCAAAAATATCTTAGACGCTACTTTTACACATGGCCTTAATTGCAGAAATTTACTAATTTATTATTGTCTGAATCTAAAATTAGTTGTAAGAGATCTTTCTAAATATTTATATTATGCAAATTTGATTTAAAATAGATTTACAGAACCTCAAACACGTCATAATTATGAATTCATATGTTTTACATTGTATTTTTTGTGCTCCTTGAAAAATCTATGTCTTCTGGCCTATAGTTATGTTGTATTTGATATAAACATATATTGCATGTTTAACGTAATAAAATTATTTGAGTTGAGTTGAGTACGGTATTTACTTTCTGGAAGGCTTGGTTCACACCCTAGAAGATGCTTTTTTTCTTTTTCCTTTCTTTGTTTGTTTTTGTCAGATTATGATTTTCTTTCTTAATTTATATCTAAGATATGATATTAAGATAAACATGGAAGTTTTATATATAATTTTCACTGTGAAAAATTGTATAGCAAAACCAATTTTAATGATAATTATTTAAAATCAGCATGGTAAACATTCTTTATATGTCGCAAAAATGTTAAGAATAGTTTCTAGATAATCATTATTAAAAAACTTTTTGATGCCCAGATTACATTTTTACAAAATAATGGAATGGATGTTATATTATGCTTTTGATAGTATGTAAAATAATTCACCCAATCAATAGAGGAACAAACTATTCGTAAATAAGAAAAAGTTAAAAGTGTTAAATAGCGAGTGGAGGTTAGTTTTGTACAATTATCATTATTATTATTATTTTTAATTAGAAACATGTTCACTAAGACAAATCAATAATAATGTGATTTATTTACTTTCAATGCGGCGTAAACTTTTAACCCCCCCCATTTTTTTTATCCTGCCCCCACCCCCTTTTGTTCATCTTTTTAGCCCTTGTCCCTTTAGTTCGCATATGGACCCGTTTTAGTTTTTATTATTTCACACAGAACTTGTCCCTTTCCTCCTTTTGCCACCCTTATGTCTACTCCCGGTTTTGGTTTGGTGCCTTCTGGGTGCCCTGCTGTTGTGGCTTGGGTGTGTCGGGGGCTGAGTCCTATGAACGTTGCCGTTGCCTTGTTGATCTTTGTTCTAGTTTTCTATGCACAGCGATATATTAATTATTAGATGCCAAATGCTGTACATTAAATAACATAAATTCAAAAATTTATTCAAAACATATTATAACTCGACTTACAAATTGGGCCGATAAGAACGAAAAGTTAATTGACAATCAATTTGTTTTTCAAAAGAATAAATCAACGATTGACTGTATTTATATTTTACACGCTCTTGCTGAAAAAAAAATATATGTAGCCTTTCTCGACTGGGAAAAATGTTTGGCATAATTGATAGAATTTACTTGTGGCAAAAACTAATGGATGCAAATGTTAGTACAAAATTTGAATTGGCTATATAGTCAATGTACTCAACGGTTAAATCGTTTGTAAGGTATAATTCGACTTACTCTAACTTTATAAATTCAAACATTGGAGTGAAGTGAAGCAAGGTAGCCCCGCCAACAGCATTTTGTGTCTCTTCTTTCTAAACGATATTGTTGATTATGTAAATACAGATATTAATGGAATAATGAACATTGGCGACATTCAGTTATTTTAATTACTTTTTGCCGATGACGCAGTTTTATTTGCTCACGATCCAAAATCCCTACAGTCCATGTTGAATGACATAGAAGAATATAGCAATGCATGGAAAATCCCTACAGTCCATGTTGAACGACATAGAAGAATATAGCAATGCATGGGGCTTACGTCTTAATGCCAGCAAAACAAAAGCCAAATTTTTTTTAAAAGGCCGCCATACCAAATTTAATTTTTATCTTTAAAACAATCATATAAAATTAGTAGATTCTTTTAAAAATTTGGGCGTTCAGTTATATAAAAAAATGCAATTGGAACCGAACACAAAAGCGAATAGCCCAGCACGGTTCGAACTCATTTCACAATTTGTTTATTGTTTTTAACCATCTTGATTTACCCGTGTCCAAACAATGTGACTTATTCGATTCATTGGTAGCTTCTACGTTAAATTACGCGGCTGAAATCTCGGGTCATCATGTCGGACCTGATGTTGAACTCATTCACACCAAATTCTGTAGATAGATAGATAGATTTATTTTGGCATAAAGGTAAACATGTTACATGATAAACAAACACAATATAGATTAAAACAATTACAAATAAATAAATAAATGAATGAATAAATACTATATGATGTAAACCATGACATGTTCCCAAAACCAAGGATAACACAAAAAAGAGCAAGCTCTTATTTCCATTGTGGTCCTTAGCATTTGGTGGCATGACATAGAGAGGTATTTCATAAAAAATAAAAAATATCACAAGTTATAAGATAAATCACATTAATGAAGGATATCATTTAAAAAAGTATTATCAAAAATACTGTCAAACGCTATACAAATTTATACGCTCTTTACGGCGAAATAGGTGGAATCCCGATGAGCATTCATAGACAATTAATAATGGTTAAATACTAGATAAAATTATTGACATGTAAAAAAGAAACTCTTCTTTTCAAAACATATAACATGCTTAAGGTCGATGTTGAAGCAAATAACACATATAATAAATCTTATTGGGCTTATTAATTAAAATTATACTTGATAGATGCGGACTTACGTATATCTGGCAAAACCAATTTAGCATGTTAATTGACTATAATATTATTGAACGACGCATATTAGATATTTCTTATCAAAGTTGGTATTGTTCTATGAATAATAATTCTAGACGTCTTGATACATACAGTTCTTTAAAATATAAATTTGAATTTGAAAGTTATCTTGATTATATTAAAGACAAAGGATTTCGAGTTGCGCTTACAAAATTTTGCACATCATCTCACTACTTGTTTATTGAAAAGGGAAGATATACAAACGTACCTAGACTGGAAAGAACATGCAATAATTGTTCTTCGAGACAAATTGAAAACGAATTTGACGTTTTGTTTACATGTTCACAATATGCTGACCTTCGCAAAAATATCTTAGACGCTACTATTATACATGGCCTACATTGCAGAAATTTACTAATTTATTATTGTCTGAATCTAAAATAGTTGTAAGAGATCTTTCTAAATATTTATATTATGCAAATTTGATTTAAAATAGATTTACAGAACCTCAAACACGTCATAATTATGAATTCATATGTTTTACATTGTATTTTTGTGCTCCTTGAAAAATCTATGTCTTCTGCCTATAGTTATGTTGTATTTGATATAAACATATATTGCATGTTTAACGTAATAAAATTATTTGAGTTGAGTTGAGTACGGTATTTACTTTCTGGAAGGCTTGGTTCACACCCTAGAAGATGCTTTTTTTCTTTTTCCTTTCTTTGTTTGTTTTGTCAGATTATGATTTTCTTTCTTAATTTATATCTAAGATATGATATTAGATAAACATGGAAGTTTTATATATAATTTTCACTGTGAAAAATTGTATAGCAAAACCAATTTTAATGATAATAATTTAAAATCAGCATGGTAAACATTCTTTATATGTCGCAAAAATGTTAAGAATAGTTTCTAGATAATCATTATTAAAAACTTTTTGATGCCCAGATTACATTTTACAAAATAATGGAATGGATGTTATATATGCTTTTGATAGTATGTAAAATAATTCACCCAATCAATAGAGGAACAAACTATTCGTAAATAAGAAAAAGTTAAAAGTGTTAAATAGCGAGTGGAGGTTAGTTTTGTACAATTATCATTATTATTATTATTTTTAATTAGAAACATGTTCACTAAGACAAATCAATAATAATGTGATTTATTTACTTTCAATGCGGCGTAAACTTTTAACCCCCCCCCCATTTTTTTATCCTGCCCCCACCCCCTTTTGTTCATCTTTTTAGCCCTTGTCCCTTTAGTTCGCAATATGGACCCGTTTTAGTTTTTATTATTTCACACAGAACTTGTCCCTTTCCTCCTTTTGCCACCCTTATGTCTACTCCCGGTTTTTGGTTTGGTGCCTTCTGGGTGCCCTTGCTGTTGTGGCTTGGGTGTGTCGGGGGCTGAGTCCTATGAACGTTGCCGTTGCCTTGTTGATCTTTGTTCTAGTTTTCTATGCACAGCGATATATTAATTATTAGATGCCAAATGCTGTACATTAAATAACATAAATTCAAAAATTTATTCAAAACATATTATAACTCGACTTACAAATTGGGCCGATAAGAACGAAAGTTAATTGACAATCAATTTGTTTTTCAAAAGAATAAATCAACGATTGACTGTATTTATATTTTACACGCTCTTGCTGAAAAAAAAAATATATGTAGCCTTTCTCGACTGGGAAAAAATGTTTGGCATAATTGATAGAATTTACTTGTGGCAAAAACTAATGGATGCAAATGTTAGTACAAAATTTGAATTGGCTATATAGTCAATGTACTCAACGGTTAAATCGTTTGTAAGGTATAATTCGACTTACTCTAACTTTATAAATTCAAACATTGGAGTGAAGTGAAGCAAGGTAGCCCCGCCAACAGCATTTTGTGTCTCTTCTTTCTAAACGATATTGTTGATTATGTAAATACAGATATTAATGGAATAATGAACATTGGCGACATTCAGTTATTTTAATTACTTTTTGCCGATGACGCAGTTTTATTTGCTCACGATCCAAAATCTCTACAGTCCATGTTGAATGACATAGAAGAATATAGCAATGCATGGAAAATCCCTACAGTCCATGTTGAACGACATAGAAGAATATAGCAATGCATGGGGCTTACGTCTTAATGCCAGCAAAACAAAAGCCAAATTTTTTTTAAAAGGCCGCCATACCAAATTTAATTTTTATCTTTAAAACAATCATATAAAATTAGTAGATTCTTTTAAAAATTTGGGCGTTCAGTTATATAAAAAAATGCAATTGGAACCGAACACAAAAGCGAATAGCCCAGCACGGTTCGAACTCATTTCACAATTTGTTTATTGTTTTTAACCATCTTGATTTACCCGTGTCCAAACAATGTGACTTATTCGATTCATTGGTAGCTTCTACGTTAAATTACGCGGCTGAAATCTCGGGTCATCATGTCGGACCTGATGTTGAACTCATTCACACCAAATTCTGTAGATAGATAGATAGATTTATTTCGGCATAAAGGTAAACATGTTACATGATAAACAAACACAATATAGATTAAAACAATTACAAATAAATAAATAAATGAATGAATAAATACTATATGATGTAAACCATGACATGTTCCCAAAACCAAGGATAACACAAAAAAGAGCAAGCTCTTATTTCCATTGTGGTCCTTAGCATTTGGTGGCATGACATAGAGAGGTATTTCATAAAAAATAAAAAATATCACAAGTTATAAGATAAATCACATTAATGAAGGATATCATTTAAAAAAAGTATTATCAAAAATACTGTCAAACGCTATACAAATTTATACGCTCTTTACGGCGAAATAGGTGGAATCCCGATGAGCATTCATAGACAATTAATAATGGTTAAATACTAGATAAAATTATTGACATGTAAAAAAGAAACTCTTCTTTTCAAAACATATAACATGCTTAAGGTCGATGTTGAAGCAAATAACACATATAATAAATGTTATTGGGCTTATTAATTAAAATTATACTTGATAGATGCGGACTTACGTATATCTGGCAAAACCAATTTAGCATGTTAATTGACTATAATATTATTGAACGACGCATATTAGATATTTCTTATCAAAGTTGGTTTTGTTCTATGAATAATAATTCTAGACGTCTTGATACATACAGTTCTTTAAAATATAAATTTGAATTTGAAAGTTATCTTGATTATATTAAAGACAAAGGATTTCGAGTTGCGCTTACAAAATTTTGCACATCATCTCACTACTTGTTTATTGAAAAGGGAAGATATACAAACGTACCTAGACTGGAAAGAACATGCAATAATTGTTCTTCGAGAACAAATTGAAAACGAATTTGACGTTTTTGTTTACATGTTCACAATATGCTGACCTTCGCAAAAATATCTTAGACGCTACTATTATACATGGCCTACATTGCAGAAATTTACTAATTTATTATTGTCTGAATCTAAAATAGTTGTAAGAGATCTTTCTAAATATTTATATTATGCAAATTTGATTTAAAATAGATTTACAGAACTCAAACACGTCATAATTATGAATTCATATGTTTTACATTGTATTTTTGTGCTCCTTGAAAAATCTATGTCTTCTGCCTATAGTTATGTTGTATTTGATATAAACATATATTGCATGTTTAACGTAATAAAATTATTTGAGTTGAGTTGAGTACGGTATTTACTTTCTGGAAGGCTTGGTTCACACCCTAGAAGATGCTTTTTTTCTTTTTCCTTTCTTTGTTTGTTTTGTCAGATTATGATTTTCTTTCTTAATTTATATCTAAGATATGATATTAAATAAACATGGAAGTTTTATATATAATTTTCACTGTGAAAAATTGTATAGCAAAACCAATTTTAATGATAATAATTTAAAATCAGCATGGTAAACATTCTTTATATGTCGCAAAAATGTTAAGAATAGTTTCTAGATAATCATTATTAAAAACTTTTTGATGCCCAGATTACATTTTACAAAATATGACGATTTTTCTTACCCCCACATATTTATTTGGTACCTGCCTCAATAAACAAAAAACAATTTCAATTCATTTTACATTGATTAATTTGTATTTTTTCAAAAGCTAGTTCTTTATTAAAACTTTTCAAGTAAAGAAAATATAAATGAAGCTTTTCTACAGACATAAAAACATAATTGTTGTTGTATAAAACCAATGCAAATGTTGAACTTGGACCGTCAATATTTTTTTAAATAAGATGGTTAACTTTCTTTTTTTTTGTATTTATGACCAGAACAAAGTAAAAATTTAAAAGCATTTAGTTTAAAACGCCTTTCAGAACAGTGTCAACAATACATCTAATACCTTAAAAGCGATGATGTAAAATTCATTTGTGGTTAGATAAGTCATGATCGAGATACAATAAGTATTATTAGATTATGCAAATATCACTGTGGCCATAGCTTTAGGTAGCACTCCACACTAAATTTCAAGTTTCTGCCGTAAATGTCCTAAAAGCAATATGTCTGATAAATCTGATCCCAAACTACACAACCTGGAAAAAGAAAACACATTTTGTTAAGAACATATATGCCATTACATTGCAAATCTACAATGAAATCATCCCATGTGCAACAGTAAGGCAGTTAGAAACTTCCAATTCATTCCGTAAAAGCCAAAATATCTATAGTGATCCGAGACCCAAAACAACATATTTCGTCCCTCCGGCAAAAAATACCTGCAAATATACGGGCTACAGAAACTCTGTCACTGCTCTAGCAACTCCCTATGCATGCAAAATATCACAAAGAAATAGGTGCTTGGCCTTGAAGATTTTTTGCTATTGCTGAAAGTTTGTACCTCCCGTAAAATTACTTGTTTTCACCGAGCATCCTGTTTAAAAGCAATGTTTACAAACAATGGCGGACTTAACATCTATAATTAACAGCATGTGATTTCTAACCATGTTTTCGAATTTGCCAATAATCATATTGCATGTCACAAAAACAAATTTCATGCTGAAAATGCACTTTGAAGACATCCAGTCATTTAAATCCACAATAGTCACTATATCCATGAAATCCTCCCTGGCCATTCGAAGCTGTGGCTTCAATTAGTGTGGTGTGCTGCCTTAACAGAAGCCGGGCACACCGTCTTACCGGCTCCAGTGCCAACACAACTGATGGCGCCGGTGATGGCACAGATTTAAAATTTACTGAGTACTACAGGTAGATTATAAACTTGTTTGGTATATTGATATTACGAAAATAAGGAAAATCTAATTGCAATAAACTTACTGTACTTTGACTGAAGTTATTATAACGTTATTTCATATTCACTTTTCAAGTTATTGAAATATTTTGTGCTGGTAAAAAAGTGACAGCTTCTAAAAAGCTGTAAAAATGATTGTTTCTTGTTGAGAATATCTCAAGCTTGCAACAAATGAATGAATTTATCACTAAGGATTACGCAAGCCAAATATCTGCCCAGTATGTCTTTTCTTGAAAATGTAACAGGCGTCCAAACTGGCTTGGTCAAACAGAAAATGCGGCCGTTGTAGGCAATAGTAATAAACAGGCTCACTTAAGAAAACTTAACATGGCAAATATTGAAATTTTGCAGACTCGGTATGATTGAAATTGTTCGCAAGCTACCGTTCACGCCCCTAGCACCGACAGTAGCAGAATTTAACATGAACTGGTAAATTCTGAATTTAGAAACATCCGTGGATGTGTTCATATATGGCGGTTATCATGGAAACTTCTATGACACGTTAGTGCCATTGCATAAAAAGCGGCATACGATGATCCCAAGTAAAGAATTACATGTATCCTGAACGAGAAAACAATGGGCGAAACTTAATAAAAGGGACGTTTTGCTAGGCAATATTTATTTCAAGGAAACTCTTTTGTTAATTTTTCGATATTTTGCGTACTTTTATGTAAAATTGATATATTAAACTATAGTTTGTAATATTTTCCCGAGACAGAGAGGTAAATAATACGGACGATGCATCGAAAAAAGCTGTTTATTGACTGAATCGTAAAATAGGCAATACTTTAAAAGGAAACTGGTAAATGTCAAGTAAAGAAGAAAACACTTTATTTCATGAAAGGCAAT